CACTTATTCAAATAGTTTTATCCTTTGTCCTCGCCAAAATCCCAAGTTTCCGAATTCATCATAATTGTTGTAGAGACTCATATTTTCTTGGATTTTCAATCTCTGGTCTTTTCTATTACCGCTAACACTGTTGCTATTTCCACAACTCTAGGATTAGACTTGAAAATTTCATCTCTTTATGCTGACGTAGTATGGCAGTTTGAACCAATGTACGTACAAGTTCTACATTGCCTATGAAAACGTTCTTCGAAGAAAGCAACTTTACAAGTGCCTAGAGTGAATACAGATCTCGACACTCATGAAAACTAAAGTGAGAATCACTAGCCTTTAGAAGACACTGTATTTCATTGATATAAAAATACATGCATCGGCTTTTGAAAAATCAACTACGGAATGGATTACAAGTAAATATACATCTTTTCTTTCCAAACCTCCAATTTAGCTATCTTTCGCTACTTAAATTTGGTTAGAAGAAACTAACAATGCTGACTTAAGTATGATTATTTAAACAAAACTAGATCTCTGTCAATACTGAAAGATATAAGTACCAAATAAGTCGGATTTCAAGTATTATATGAAAACATTCCATAAATTTCAACCGTCCATTTCTTTTGATGAATGGCTATAAGGTATAAATTTTAGGAATTTAATAAATTCACTATATAATAGCAGATTACTGAAAAAGTGATGAGGTATATATTATTTCAATTGACGGTGAACATTTAACTTTAATATACTGATTCGATAAATTAAGTGAAACTTTATAATCCGAACAATTACTAGAACGAATTTCATGTTCGTTATTATTTTGTTAGCTTCGAAGTATATGTCCAGTCTTATTACAAATTGTGAACAATAGAGCCTGTTTTATTCATTAATTTATAACTAGCAAATAGTTAAGCTTACTAATATGTTTATTTATTTTTATTTTCAGTTTTTACAGGAATATAGAAGTGTCATCATAAGGTTGTGGAGGTTGTTGAGTTTCATTGCAATCATGAACCGATTGCTTGCGTCGTGCATGTGCATGCCACTAAGCCCTGTACTTGGAAGAAACGGTCGTTCAGTGCCTTCAGGCTTTCAATAGTACTCTAAAACTGATCAATTTATTTTTTCTGTGGATATGACTAAGGTTTCAAGCCAATGTGATCACTTGGGTTTTTTCTGATCACCTGGAATCCTTCTAGAGTTACTACTGGCGTAAAGCCTCGATAAAGGAATAACGTCATGCATATGTTAACTAACCCATCTGGTAGAAAACGATCTTGCTAAGAAAACGCCAACTAGAGAAATCAGAAGCATAATCGACAACGAAACTACACAGGTCGTTTTTGTTCAGCAACGACAAGAGATTATATGCCAAACTAATTGGAATTAAACAGTCTTTCCAATAAATAAAATTTTGAGACTGATGAACTGGGAATAATAGGTTCAGTCTTCAGTTCGTAACAAATGTATGATCATATCTTCCTGTAAACAACTTTCATATTTTTAAAAATCAGGTTTACATTCCAGTTTATAAATAGAGTTTATTGTTAAAAACGTTGAATAAATGGTGAAACGTTAAGCGATACCATTGACCTTAGTAAGGTATTTGCCTAAATGATCTCAGATACTAAGCTTCATGATATTAAAACAAATACGATGTTTTAAACAATTTTTTATCATGGGTATTTACTTCCTGAGAAAAGCCATGAGGCATTAGATATTTGTTTTCATAGTAACACGGTCAAAAGAGAGAGTAATAGTTGTTGAAACCAACTCCCACAATTTTTATATCAAAATCAAAAACAGGTCGCAGGGTACAACTTATTTATTTTCTGATACAAAATATACACAAATGTGTATCGTTCGCCTTACAAGTTTCACGTTTAAATGTAACCTGATAAGGAGCATAGAAAAGTCCTAGAATTCAGAAAGCCTTTAGAGCTACTGTGGTGCACGCTACTTATAAGTAGTATATGACGCGAGTGTAAACGTAATGTCTGGCAGCAGAAAATGGGGGAAGATCAAGAAAGAAAGAGTGGGAACACAATGGAATTTGTATGAAACGTATGAATAGCGAAATGTCAGACAATGGATTGATGATAGATTGAAGATTTGCAAATTAACGGTTACGATATGGTTTTCCTATTTTACTGAGTGACTCTGTAATTTTCGTTAAATACAATTCGGTTGCCCTCACCTATGTTCTACTTCACTACACTACGAGTTGAAGTATTCTTATTTAAGAAATTAATGAATGCACAAAGTGAATACCTCATAAACTCCTCTCTCTCCAGATTTCGAAAACCTACATGGCAGATAGGTCAGTGATTTACTACCTTTATCTTCTGTTTTTGTCCTAAAGTAAGCAAGAGCCCTGGAAAGTTCGTAGCATACACTTGTATCGTACACTACTATCTAAGGACCTCCACCTACATTTTAGTAGACAAGGAATTTCAAAAGTCGACTTCGTGGCTGTATTTTCACACTCAGAAAGTTCTCCAAACAGCCACATCGCAAACTTGGGGATACTCGCTCTCATATTTCCTGTTAGTTTCGTGACTTCGTGTTAGTTTCGTGTTTACTTTACCGCTTCTCATGTCGAAATATAGGCTCTCCAAATGTCATCAAGTATTTGAAAAATAATTCTGAGGAAGAAAATTCATAGGTCCTTACAAACCAGGTTGTAGACTAATTTTTTTGGAAGGTGAAGCATGACGCTAAATAGATATCTCAGTTTCTCATCACTCGCATCAGTCATATAAAATTTAGACAACATAGTTGTTACCATACTTTCATACCCGACAGGTTATGACAAAAGTTTGAGTCAACAAGATGCATACCTCATTAATTTTGGTGATGTTTAGAGAGAATTCGCGAACCTAAGATGACATTATTTACTCCATAAACGACTAAAGACTGCAACCAAAGGTCTCCCTGGGACAATAAATCAGTTGACAGTATACAACCTAGTCTGAATAGTCAGACCTTAATCGTCTGGTCTTAAATTAAAACTAGTGACAGCGTAACGAACAGTAGCAATTTAGTCGTACTCATAACAGAAAGAGTACTGTAGGAAGCATAACTTCAGTCATAAGTGTAGATACCGTTAAAGGAAACAACCAACACCCTCAACATGGAGATTTGTAAGAAAAGGTTGAACGGATCTGTTTCTTATCTGTCATGGACGTATTCAACATTTTATCTAGAACTAGAATACAATTTTAGACGCATCAGAGCTTGGTCGTAGAGAAACTGAAATTATCAAACTACTGCACTACTACAAATAATCGGGTGAGATATGCTCTATAGTTAATTGTGTACTAGTGAGTTGGTTCAATTGTTAGCATCCAGCTTTTCAGTCTGTCGTTTGGAAAACAGCAGTTGAAACCCAAAAAATAAAATCAGAGAAAAATCAATTTTCATGATTTACTTTATATTTCGTATATATATATATATATATATATATATATATATATATATATATCCTTATAACTGTATATTCAAATAAATCCTAATGGGGATCTAATAGGAAAACACCGAACAACTGTTCAATTTTCGTGAATAATAAGATTTTGAAATGGTTCTTGTCACGCCATAACTTCAGCTTATAAACCAATAAATGTCAGGGTGCAATCAACGGCTTATTCGTCGTAGTTTCAGACTCCTCAACATAATGTACTCACTACGAGTTGAATTGGGACGAAATGGCTGTTCAGTGCATCTCAGCAGTCCATGACTCATAAGCAGAAGTCAGTTCATGATGAACATTACGTAACAATTGAAAATAATATTGTTTCGAATATGTCATACTATATTGAGGCAATGAAAATTTGCAGACCAATACCATGATAAAAATAATATTGTCCTTTGACTTTCCTTTATGTGGTCGGGATTAACTTTGAGTGAATAAATAGTAAGCAATGGTCATGTTAGTGTTCTTCTTAAAACTGCTTATTAGATAACCTTACCAAGGTTTAACTGAATCATTTCAAATGAATTGACTATTAAGTGAATAATTGATAATATAAATAATGTATATGTAGTATCCCGATGACTATAAAAGTCAAACTTTTCTGACGTTTTGTGACTTACTGTAAGTCGCTTTCATTAGAGCTCTGGGAACCTACATGGTTACACCACAGGATTGAGCTGTGCTGTTAAGGTTGAAGTGTTAGTGCCCGGGTAGTAGATGGTTCTTTTAATTAAGTTAGCTTATCCTAATATCATCGTAAAACTGGATAAAATGTATGTTATTTGAATACACTGTCGTAAACAACATATGATAGTTTTGTAGATTAACTAGCCACAATATTGGATTCCTCTGAGCATAAACTTCTCGGTCAACTTGGATATTTTATGGGATATGAATCTGATTTTTCGATACGTTGAGATATTACAAATAATGTTTGCTCGAATGAAAGTACGTACATTGAGTGTTAATCACTAACCCATTGTTTCCTTAAGACTTTATCTAACAAGCACATCATGATGTGACGACTTTGTTAAAAAAAACCTTGGGATTTTCTCGTTTTCGTTTTTATCATTTTATCAATCTAACAATTAGTGATCAGTCTTTGAAGATTAATACACTGAACCGTTTTATCGATTTTCAAATATTTGACGATAAGGCTCCAGCAACTAGTTTATATGATTTTAAGACTAAAATTCAGAATACAACTTTATCAGAACGTATTTCTTGAATGTTTAATTAATTTTTTAACACAGACACCATAATAAGAATTTCATTTACTAAAAGTTAGGATTCAAAACTGAGTTAACGTAAAGCGTCATTTACATTGCTTAGTATTAATTTTTACACTGTACCTAAAGTTAGATTTATTGAAGGCTGATTAATTTTAAACCTTTTGACGGACTTTCTATCATACAAGTGTTTTCTCACTTTAAACACGAAAATATATTGTCAGGAACAAACAGATTGTAATTGATGATTATCACAAATAATAGACCTGTTTTTGCAAGAAACACTCTTTTAATCTCTTATCTATTACTTACGTAAAGCAGGAAATCAATTATGATATTTTTGTTTAATTCAGGACAAATTTAGTGAGTAATTGACACAATTTAAAAAAAAATACAAACCATTTACGAATATGATAAAACTCTTCGGATCTGTTCTAGAATTTTCTGTTTGACTGCATAATTCTTTAAATCTCGTCGTTGAGTACTACTTGAATGGACTATATTATAATCCCAATCATAATTGCCGATCTTTGAAACAGAATATTGTTCTGGAGGTAACGGTGATGGTCCATCGGCATAAGTTTTTGATGCTTTCTGAACAGGTTTATGTGAAGGCTGGTGAAGAATGACATTTTGCTTTTGCTGTCCGAGGGATTGGGTTTGAGCTTTGACTGCTAAATTATTCACATTAGGTGACTGACTAGTGTGGGTTAAATCTTGACCAGTTGGTGGCACATTTTTTTGATTTGACGTAACTGGAGAAATTTGAGATGGTTGTTGAGTCAGTGATTGTTGTGCAAACTTATCTGTGTGCGATAGACTTTCCGGTCGCTGTGACGATATTGGTTGCCCATGTTGTGTTGGTTGATTATCGAAATTATCACGATTATTTATATTGGAAGTTAGAGCTAATGAATATGTAGCTGGAAAAGTATTTAAGGAGCTTTGCTGATTGATTTCCTTCGGTTGTGGGAGATCAGTTATACTAGCAGCCGTCAAGATATTCGATCGTCCTATGGGTATTGAGGATATTGCTTCAACATTATTCGGCACTGGTCTATATTTGTAACCTTGTTGCTCCAAAGTGAGGTCAGTGGAGCTTGCTAATTGGCTAAATCCGGGCATGCTGGGAAAGTTACTTCCTGATTGCTGTGCGATAATAGCAGGGTCAGTTTCTGTTTGGACATTATAGTTCCCGCTAAGCATACTCTGAAGTGGAGGAGAAACAAGATATTTTTGAGATGACTTTGAAAGAATGGCTTTAGTTTTAGAATGAGAAACATCAACATTACTAATAGTACCAGTCTGTATGGAAGGGTCGGAGGAATAAGATTGAGATGTTTGTTGTGAAGATTCCGTAGGATTAGTATAAGGTAATGAAACAGTTTTGGAAACTGGGAAACTGTTCAAAGCAGACTGAGTAGAAGGTACTGGTTGCTGATTCTTGCAAAAATCAATTAGATTATTTGGTGGTGGATGTTCTTCTGAATTTGTGGGGTGAATATTTGGTTGGGATAATAAAATGTGGTTAACTGAAACTACTGGCCTGACTTTTTGAAAACGTCTTCTGCTGAAAAGCCTAATAAGTCTAATCAAAATTTTTATAAATTCTTCTTCTTCTGATAAATACTGATGTTTTTCAGGGCTCACTGATAATGCTTGGCGAGCCTTATCCACAAATTGTCGAAAATATACAGGTGACTCGGATACATAATCATTTTCATCATTGTCATATCTTCTGAGATTGAGTAGAAGGTCAAGAGGTGTGATAAATAGATGCCGTGTACGCTTGCGTGCTCTTCTTCTTATATGACTCAGTACTTTATGATTTTCATGAGAATTACTCTCAAATGTATAATATGGCTTTGAAACACCTGATGGTAAGTCGATGTCAATCAGTTCCGAATTATGATATTCATGCAGTCTACGGTTAGCCATGCTGACAGTTATGTGAATCAAATATATCAAAGCAAAGTATATCCATTTTGCAAACATTGAACTCAAAACTGCTCAAATCACTATAAAAGCTTATATTAATTTCCTTGATAAATCAATGAATAAATGTGAACACTAGTTAATTATTTAGGTTTCCATAAAGTTTGTATTACAGAATCAGGTTATAAATATAGTATCAGATTTTTCGACAATAGTTGAGCCATATTCACAATTTAAAAATGAATTTAATCCAACTAAGTAATTGAATCATTTGTTGGTATTCATGTTATGTAAAACATGGTTAAATCACACACAACAATCTAACGATTATCAATCAAAGAATGATATTCTCATTTAATCAAGAGAGCAAATATCATTGATTCCTGTTTATGTGAATACGGATGAACGGGTCATCTGTTCATTAAAGAAAGTTCTGGTATAATTGTTAGCCCACATTAAATTCTCTTCAAAACAAGGTTTAATATCTGTGAATAAAACTTTCAAATTTTCTCCAACGGAACTATTTAACCGAGAATCAAGGAACCGTTTTCTATTATCGTTTACTAGTAAAACAGACTGATCAGTGAATAGTTTTATTCATAGCTAGTTTTAGCTATGAATTACGAAGTGATATTTTATAGATTCAAATAAAACTATCAAGTCAAACAATAAGTCTGCAAGAGATCTAAGAAATACTAAGGTATAAAATTTTATTACAATAGCATTCTCAAAAGTTGGTCGGTAAAAGTAAACTTATTTTCAAAATAGTATAGTATTCAACAGCCAACTTATGGAATGTAATGGCTACTTAACCAGCATCTGAAAGTAAAAATACAAAATATCCTAGTAGCTTTCCCAGCAATTCAGATGAAAACAAACATATATCTCATAGGCTTACAAATCTGCACATTTTCAAGTTCATAGGTGCTTGAAACTCATGAAAGTAGATTCTGCAAAAAAATCCAACTATCATCGTTTCCGAAACGTATTCATCATAGTAGCTAAGTCTACCATCAAAGTAACCAAGAGTAAATTATCGAAACTTTAAAATCATACATTATTTCAAAATTACCTTGACTGACATCACGCAAGAAACAGTCTTATATACTGTACCACACTTTGTTTGAATGGTACTTATATTTAAATTATACAGTTTGTACAAGCTGTCTGTAATGGGACGAATCGCAGTTGACTGTGATCACCAATACAGGCCAGTCACCTACCAATTACCAGGTTAAATCCCTCCATAGAATAGAAATCAGAAGGAAAGTTGCAGAAAGTGATTAGCACAATTTGTTGGTGATCTCGTGGTATCGAAATAATACCGATATCGTGCCAAAGTGTACAGGTGAGACTACCAAGCGTACGTGAGCAAGGTCAACTGAGACTCGCCTCATAACATTTGGTGATCAACGATTTTAAACACGCCTCAACTGCCGGAGTATCTACCAAAGAAGTCAATTAAAATGAGTCTATTATTCATCTATCCCCATTTTTCTCATGTTACAATGCTATTATTAATGTCCTTTAAAATATATTATAATTGCTACAATTTCGAAATGGTGGATAGATATTGTTAAATAGACTTCAAGGAGAAAGTCATTGCATTTTCACCTGTCTCCTTCACGTCACCCCAGGTTGCTCGCTTATTTAACGTGCACGATTTTCGCACTAGTGCTAGGTACTTGGTGGCCACAGGCGCCCAAGTTTCTGTCGTATCGTCTGGTAGCAGAAAATCTCAAGCCACAACCCTTCGACTACGCGATGCGAAACGCTCTGTCATTCCTAACTACGGTACACAACAGCTAACTATCAACCTGAATAATCGACAACAGTGTCTGTGGACGTTCATCCCTGCTGATGTTCCAATAGCCTTACTCACTATCGATTCCCTACAGCTCTATGAATAGCTAGTCGATTCACGTGGGCTGCAGTTAATCGATACTTCGTCGAATAATAAATGCAAGGCTTTTAACGCACAAACAGATGTATACCGAATCATTGGTGTACTTTTTTTCACGAATATTTATTTCATGTTATATTTGATAAATTCCCCAAAGTAACTAAACTAAGGAGATTATATCGGTGATTAATTATGTGGTAAGCTACATCGTCACCCACGAATCCCCAATCACGGCAAAACCTCGCCGACTGGCACTGGACAAATTAGTTTTCGCTAAGCTTGAGTCTGATATTTCATTCGCTTTATGTATTATTTCGTCTTTTGAACAGTCCTTATTCCTTGTAGCGCCTCCAAATACATTTGAGTTTGCTTATATCTGATTTGGTTAAGTCTTTCGATTAACTTATTTAACCACGCCAATTGCATAGCAACAATTTATATGTACCATTGGTTTTTACTATTGTCTGGTTTGTATGAGTAGGTACAACTGAATATTGCTTACGCCTACGGGCGTATTCATCCTAATCGCTATATTATGTTAATCTCTTAAATATCTCGATGACTCAGACATTTCCCCACGTATAAATGCGAACATTTTATTCTTATTGATTCATTCATTAATTCGCCAACTCGCTCGCCAGTATACTTGCCCTGCTCTGTGTGTTTGTGGTCTGCTGGTCCGTTTTGTAGTGCGTCAAAAATAAACGTATTCAACACTTCGTATTTGCCTTCCGATTTGTAACCGTCAGGCGCTACTTGTTGACGATTGTCTAGACGAGTGAATTACGAAGACTAAGAACACGTTTAATATCAAGCGTCACGAAACTAGTGATACATTGGCCACCAAAGCTTCCCCTCTGTACTTAAATCGCAAAAAGATATTGAGTTAGTTGGAAACCATGCGGCGATTACAGAGCGGTAAAGGCAAATATTCAATGTTCTGCCTCTGAACTTGTATTTGGTGCGAGATTGCATCTGCCCGGGGATTCGTTCACACCACGGAGCAGAGACTTTATGTCTAACAAATAACGTCCGACGACTATCTGAGTAAATGCAAACACTGCCTCCTGTGTAAACTCAAATGCAGAGCTGACAGGTCGCTCTTCCTCAAGAGTCATTTAACTGTCCATCTGTTTTCATACGAGTAGATACAGTACACAAATCTCTGCAACAGCCTTATGAAGGACCATTACACGTGATTTTTCGTCAAGAAAAGACCTTCAAGGTCGATGGACACAGTTAGCATTGATCGTCTCATACCAGCACACACCGATGACAGTGCTCTACCCGATAAATCGAGATTCAATGCTAGACACGCCTAACTCACTAGCGGGGTCCCTATATCTACTTCGAACCTCACGCTAGATACATCAGAGACCTCATTCTCACGTAACAGTCAGCAGTACGGGTCATCTGCACTATCTACGGATGAGACTTTGTCCTCACGTCCAGATCAGCAGACCACGTAGCCCTTCACTTGGGATGGCATTGCAGTCTCACGAGGTGCATGCGAGACTACCATCTCACATTCCGGTCGCCGAGTATGCCCACCTGTACGCTTTCGCGACTATTCTCTCAATAAACAACGGTAACGTTATAGGACTCTACCCCATACTAGATACGGGCTACACGTTTTTCTTTGTTTTTTATCCTGAGCCAACGCCTCCGACCATCGCCCTAAGAGGTACCGTCAATTTCAGTCAATCTTGGCGAAAGCTGGCCTGATCACCTACGCTCTTGTTCCTGTACTCAGTCGACGTTCTGGTTCCGAATATGTCTGAGATACGAATGGTCGTGAACTTGGTTGTTATGGTCGTTTCTTGGCTCAATGTAGTTCCGTCCTACGTGTGTTCTCGTCCGAACTCCTACGAACGCAATCTTCGGATTCTGCATACGCCAACTCGTGCAACAAATATCGTACGTCACACCTTGTACCGTTCTGCGTAAAAGACCTTCGGCAACGACTCGAGGATCAATGATTGCTTCCTGTTCGTCGCACATTCCGTTCTACAACAGCACGTTTATCCACGAACGAAACATCTTCTTGTCTATCTGTACTAGAATTTCCCACTTTCCGTTGTTTGTGACGCTGACCTTGCTCACGTACGCACGGTAGTCTCGCCTGTACACTTTGGCACGATATCGGTATTATTTCGATACCACGAGATCACCAACAAATATGTGCTAATCACTTTCTGCAACTTTCCTTCTGATTTCTATTCTATGGAGGGATTTAACCTGGTAATTGGTAGGTGACTGGCTGTGAATCGTCCCATTACATATCTATCCTTTTCAAAAACATGAGCGCTTTAGAATAATATACATCAAAGTATCAAAGTTGAGACTTGTATAATAATAATTCGGTGAATGATTCACACTGATTTTACTTAAGCTTAATGTAATCTGTCAATAAGTACACATTTAAATTTCAAAAATTTCGTCCAACGTCGGATCTCAGTTTTGTCTAAGTTCATTAAAAGTCTTTGGCTAAGAATACAGAATGGCGTACACGAGTTGCTGGAATACATTTTTTCTAGACACGACATTCTTTAATGATAAAAACAAGTCTCAAATACTTATTTAGAGAGGGGAAACTCTCTATCACTTTCTGTTATACCGCAAAATTAATTATACCAAACTGGTCAATTTAGTGGTGAAAGAAGGAATAATTTTGAATGAGTTGAAGTATTATAAATAAGTAAATGCCACCCTCGAAATAATATTACTGAGTTTTCCTGGTTGGAATACTATTGTCGCCTAAATCTCTTAGCGAAAGGTTAGATTCTCTTTAGAATCTCTATCCAAAAATGAAACTAAAAATCCTTTTCAGAGCTCTGAAACACAAGATTCGCTCGTAAATACTTGAATTTCAGTGCACCGAATCCGAATTGAGGGATGATATAACTTAGTCTTCAAACGTTTTCTGATGTATGGTTTCATGAAAACCAGAATTCGAGATGTTCCTGAAGGTATTTTGAAGTAACTCTCATCATATACTGTAAGTAGTTAGAAAGCCTTGATGGAGCTTGAGAAATCGGACACGCGTTTTACCATAGTTTGAGACTTTCAACAGAATTCTATTGTTGTTTAATGAAAAGTCGGGATAGTTGAATTTTCGAGGATGATATTATCATGTAACTAGCTGAATTCTCGCCTGAGTTTCTGAATTCTGTTCAGTGAACATTGCGCCGCAACCAACC